ACATTATATGCAGAGCACATGTCATGGAGAAAGTACTAGATGTTCTCCAGAACTCGACGATTGCGTCGATGAGCGACGAGGACAATCGGTATCGTTTCTGGGGGCTTTACGGACAAGTCGCAGCGGAACATGACCAGAAGTTTCTCGACCGATACACTAACGACATGGAGAGTATCTTGCTCTTCGTAGGTTTCGCATGCTTATCATTGATCCGTTCTGAGACTGATGTTTGTCAGTCTGGTCTTTTCTCCACTGTTAGCTCGTCTTTCATTGTCGCCATGGAATCCAATCTCAGTCCTGACCCCAGCGACACCACGAATGCCCTTCTGGCGCAACTCGTGCAGATCGGACTCGGCAACCTTGTTGCTGCGGGCTCCACGCCTGTAGACCCAGCATCTACGTGGTCGCCACCTGCGTCGGCTGTGAGGATCCAAATGATCGCATACGCAAGCTTGTCCATGAGCTTGCTAGCAGCATTCGGGGCTGTCTTAGGCAGGCAATGGCTCGGGTACTACAAGTTCTACAGATATGGTCGCGGCTCGCTGGAGAGCCGAGGAAAGCGCAGACAAGAGATGTTTGACGGCCTCGTCACATGGTATTTCGATGCTGTTGTGCAGTCCTTTCCCGTCTTGCTTCAGATCTCCGTTCTTCTCTTTGAGATCGCCCTCGGTGCCCACATGTGGTACCAGCAGCCCAGCATCGCCTGGGTGATTATCGCCATATCGGTCTCTGGATTTCTGTTCTATTTGCTGACAGTGATGGCATGTTTGATATCGCCTTCTTGTCCATTCCAGACGCCGATGTCAACGATCTTATGTATGTCGGGCATTGACAGTAAGATCATTTCGTGAATTCTCGTGGTCGTGCCTCGTCTGAATCAACATTGCAGGGGTTCTACACCCAGTGTTCAAACGAGTTTTCAATTATCTCCAGCAGCTTAAGACGTCAGCGCATGGTGAGCCATATTTTCTTGCGTGTTCTCCTATTTTGACAGTTTCTTGTCAGGCGTGTTGCTAGGAATACTTGGTACCCTCAGATCAAGTTGGACCCGATTTTATGAAGCGCTTGCAGGTGACGTTCTATATTCTCTTACACAGGATACCCATTGCTCATTTCACCCCCCAGGTCCCGTGTGCGCTGCTGGCGCATTCTTGTTTCCGTCTTCTCCGACAAAGGTTGTAGACTCAGAGGCACAACCACTCGACCAGGATCTGGATGTTTTGGTGGAGGTGGAATCTATCCTTACCCTCGACCTCCGGGACATATCTACCAGCGATCTAGAAGCACCTAGTATCAAGTGGCTGCTTGAGACATCCACGGATCCTGAAGTAGTTCTCGCTACTGCCAAACTTGTTCCGCAGGTGGAATGGCTCTTGGATCTTGACGTTTCAGACATGCTGCATCAGCTGTCTGATATTTTTACGAGCTGCGTCGATATTCAGGGAAACATCGTACCATCGTTGGAGGAGAAGGCCTCGGCATGTACAACGGCTCTAACTCATTTATATTATGGACGTATTCTTCAGGCACATCCTGGATGCGGTGATTTTATTGCCCACGAGAGAGGAGACGCTGACGTGTTTTGGGAGATTTTTCGTGGAGGCATCTGTACAACAGACCGCATGGTTCTTCACACGACTATAAATCTTTGTGTTTCAAATGACGATGGACCTCAATGGACTCCTCTTTGGTCAGAGGCTTGCCCTGACTCCATTCTTGAGCGGCTGTCGCATCTTCTTCCTTATCACTTTGTTACTGGACGAGCGAATACAGACATAGAAGACCTCGCGATAACGGTGATATCAAAATTGCTATCCTCTCCATCCCCTCCGTCGACTCAAATCATAGCCAATTGCACACTTCTTGCTTGCGTCATGGTCGGGACTCAGGTTGACAAGAAAGACATAGTTCGGATTGATAAAAGGTGCCATCGATTCATTTGGTACTTTGTCTGCCATGATTAACAAAGAGATCGTGTAGTTCTTTTCTGCCTAAACTCAGTGGGTTCCTTTTGGCACAGTTCCAAAAGGCTCTCTGGGCATGGGATGGAGGTGAGCTCGACGAAGATAGCACAGCAGTCGCGCGTCGGGCATGGAACCTCCTCGACATTATCTGTCGTATCCTCGAGCTTGCTGGATATCACGATCCTTCATACCACATCATGCGGAACCTGGAAGTGTGCAGGAAGATTTACTCACGAACGAGGTCATCCGAACAAAACGATGCCTCTGTTTCATTGGTAGCTCTGCGAAACGTACTGCACTTCACGTTCGCTGCTGCTAACATATCTCGTGATTCTGCTGAGTTGTGGTACGCCAGCCCATTTTGGCCAGGCGATTCCCACCCACCAGAAGACTTCGAGTGGATGGTGGACTACCTCAACGACATCTATTCCGACGACCACGAAGCGGCATACGACATCCTTTTGCTACTAGGTAGCATAAGAGGGAGTTACAACCCTGCTAAACATCATATGTTCATCGAAAGCCTCATCGCCTGCATGGACAGTAACATACCCTTCCATTTACGCCATGCCGCTCTTCGTGCTGCTAACAGTGCGCGAGAAGAAATCGCCTCGATCGATGCCATTGATGATGCGAGGCTACGAGAGATAGTTTTAACCAATCTCTCCCCCGCTATTATGTCCGTGGTTTGTCTGCACCCAAGTCCAATACCCGCCAATGATGGTCCGGACCGCTTTTTCGATTATCACCGCGACTTGTGCTATCTGGAAATTATCTTTGCTCTCGCGAGGAATTCCATCTGGCACCCCCATTTATCTCAGGATCGCCATATTGATCGGTGCATTAGCATGATTCCGAAGTACTGCAATTCCGAATATTACAGCCAGCATACCTTTTACATTGCTGGTATCCTCCTCCAAATCGCACCTGAACAGACATCGGATACATCGCTCGAATCTGTTACAGAGCAGCAGTGGTGGGACGTGATGAGATGCGCGTGGTATTATCTTCCCTATACCATTCGCAGAGCACATGATCTAGAGGTCCTTGTCTTTGTGGAACGCACAAAGAAGTATGGTTTCAAACGCGAAAAACGACGGTCGGGTCACGGACGGTCACGACGTGACGTTCGTGACGTTCGTGACCGCCATCTCCTCCCTCCTCCCCATAACATAACATATCGAGCCGTCAGCTCATAAGGACTCCAGACACTCTAAAGATCTGATCCTCCCTCCGTCCCGAGTCAACCGTTGCTCGCTCGCTTTTGCAGAGCCCTCTCTGGCAGCCCTGGCAACCCAACCGACAAACAACTCGATAGAAGAGTGGACCTCCCAGGCCAAGAGAATTGAAACTGACGCGCCACGCGTCACGGAATGGCAAGGGGCGGAAATCGAGGATCGTACTAGGTTAAGTTTGTGTTGTTTCACTCACCGAAGGCATCGGGCTTTGCTAACGGATGTAGTAAAGGACTGTGTGGTCGGTTTGTGTGGATTTTGAGACGGTGGGGAAAGAGGAGCAATGCTCTTGGAGGGTGAGTCCCCACTGTTATATGGTTGCGCGAGTGTGCCGTCAACCCCCCTTCCTTTCTTTCTGCTCCCCCCAAAGTTGGAGCTTCTCTGCAGATCTCGTGAGAGGGCAACGCCTCTCTGATCGGAGCCGTCAGGACGATTTGGTGACCAACCGCAACAGTGAGTAATGCTTCGATCTTAGGCTCGCCACGCACCTAACTTCAAATGTGTATTGTCAGGGGTGAACAACTCGCAGAGTGCCGCTGATTGTGATGCGACGACGATCGAGTGCCATTGGGCTGTTCTGGTGAGTCACTTGTTCTCGGAAGACTTAGGCTCACGATGTCACGCAGGTAAGACCGTTTTTTTTTGCCAAAGAAACCTCTGGTGGGCGATCAGAACTGCCTGCAAAGCCCAGGGGGGATGAGGGAAAGCAGAGCTCGCTGGACGCGAAAAAGACGGTCCTCGCGGGCGCTAAGACGTTCACATGTGAGTCACAGGACAGTCCAGCTGTCTTATTCAATTTCACTCTGTTATGTCAAGCGTGAGGCATCTTTCCTACCTCTCGCGCACATGCTGATTGTTTGTATTCACAGAGACCTGCTGAATTGCAAATTGGCTTGGCAACAGAGGGGTCTCAGCACTCTTGGACTCGGACGTCGACCACCAACAATGACAACTGTTGTTGATGCTGTTCAGAGCTTCCCAGGTCTGTGTGGCCTGCTTGTGCCTTCTGCTGTCAGCAGTCCTGAGATGGATGATATCACCGAGGACTTCACTGCTGAACAGGAGACTATTCTCGTTGAACCAGGCGAGAGCAACATGAACAGCATATCCACTACCTCAGAGTCCTGTCACGCAGCTGGTGCCGGCTCGATTGATACAACACTGCAGTCCACCCTGATGGAGGCCTCCAAGGGTGTCACGGAGGGCACCAATGCCGAATATAAGAGGTGCGTGAGCTTCTTTCTGTTGATGGGCAAGGTGGCACTCATCCTCAACAGGCTTATGAACTTGTGTGTGTCCTTTCTCAGAGGCCTCCATCTCTTGGGGCCGAGTGAGGATTTTTTCAGCAAAAAGCCACGGCGTGATACGCCGTGGTTGATTGTGGCATGGATAATGAACATGTGAGTGGCAGGTTCTGCCTGGTACCACCAATTACTGATGACAGCCAACGTGTCGCTGTGGCAGGTGTGACTCAATCAACCTCGACGGCACACCCAAGCCATCTCATGTCGAGCGGGGCACCTATGGCCATGCACAGAAGATGCGGGCGTCCATGACGTACGCATTTGGGAGGCTCAATGGTCTGGGCAATCTGACATGGCACGAGTTGGATATTGGGGGTGGGCTGATGGTCGGAAACCCTTCCATTTCCATTGAGGTATCATCCTATATGTGCTCACTCCGCAGGCGCAAGGTAAGGTTTCTTCTCTCTCTGACCCCATGATTATCCTCATCTTCTTCATAGGTGCAAGCGGGCGAGGCTGCAAACAGTGCGCGGGCTATCACCTCGGTGAGTTTTTGGATGCTCCCAGCTCTGAAAAGGACTGATTGGGGACATTGGCAGGAGATATTGCTAAAGCTGTATCATTACAACCACTGCCCTGAAAATTGGACCATCCGTGCCTACCAACCTGGTGAGCGTGTGCGCGGCAGTTCTGGGAATGACCTGAGTCGATGGGGTGGCGGACATGTACGGCGGCTTCTGTCAGCTGCCTACACTGTAGCATTCATATGCATGCTTCGTTTCGACGAGGTTCTGAAGATCCAGGTGCACGATCTTCGTGTGCATGACACCCAGGTAGCGCTACACCTTCCCTTTCGCAAAACTCATCAAAACGGCAGTACGTACGTGACTCCACCCTCTGCTGCGAACTAATCGGACGTTGACCCATGCATGTGCCCACTTGCCTAGACATCAAGCCATTTCACCTCTGGCCCTTTTCGTCGTCTGAGGCACACCTCTGCCCAGTGAGAGCACTTGCTGCCTGGTTGAAGGAATCAAAAATCACGACGGGCTACCTCTTTCGAAAGATTGCTTCGGGCGACCGAATTACAGAGGCCAACAGTCCCATGGTACGTCAATTTTCAGACAGCCTAACTAGGACTCATGCTTGACTCGTCAGTCCTCCGAGCAATTTCTGGAGCTTTTTCGGAACAATCTACTTGATGTCGACATTGACCCTACTCCGTACGGCACACATTCATTCCGGAGGGGGGGGTGCCAGTTTTTGCATGTTGAGAAGCGCTGGTCTCTGCGGAGAATCTGTGAGTGGGGAGGGTGGAGCGTGGAATTTACGAACATGACAATCGTGAAGTATCTCATTTCTTCGAATGATGATCCTACTGAGCCAAGGGAGCAATTTCTGAACCCCAATAGACAGCTGATGGTGAAGTGCTCCCAGTGTGGGCGATGCTGTTCTTGTGGCTGAGTTCGAGCTCCGTCTGTACTACATTACTTTTTCTTTCTTTCTTTTTGCCTTGCTTTTTGCCAATGAAAACCTCGTTGAATGTTTCTAGTCCAGGCTGCTGAGGCCCGGTGCTTCTATGGCTTCCGAATCACGATGGAGAATATTCACTCCAAGACCTACTCACTCCATCCTCATTGTCTTTGCTCCGCGTGGGTCTTACATTCTCATCAGCCGCAAAGAGGGTATGTACACCGATTTTGCATCAGCATGTTCCAATTGCGCGAAATTCACCAGATGGAGCGTGAGATGTGTCAGTATCTGGGAGCGAGGACATGGTCAAGAAGGATTTCGTAGGTCAAGGACCCAAGTTATTCAACATCAACATCTCCAGCATCAACAGCATCTCCTCCAACGCTCCCAGGTATGGAGGATTGTACGGCTCGCATCGTTTCAGCTTCGTCTTCACCAGGTATCCCAAAACATGAGCCAGTACCAGTTTGCTTCACCAGCTGTCTGGTGAAGGTGGCTCATTGAGTGCATTGTGGTTTTTGTTGCATTTTTCTTCCTGCCACTTATACACTCACTTTTGCTCGTCTTGATGACACCGCTAACATATACACTTTCATCGCTGTCGGTTACCATCGGTTGCGGTGTGCTATTTACTAGGACTTGGAGCGCAGTGGGTTAACATAGATACTACTAGTACTTGTCTCGAAGATTTTGAACATTTACTCCTCCTCTTTGACATCCTCCTCCTCTTTGAAATCCTCCTCCTCTTTGACGTCCTCCTCCTTTCTTTTCAGTATCGCAACCACAGCCTGTTCCTCTGCAGCATCCCGCATCTCCTCGATGACTTCCATTGCCTCCGCATAGTCATTCAGTTGCATGTAAACGTTCCGGACAGCATTTTCATGAAATCCATGTTGTTTTGCGAGGGTCTTGACGGATAGCGCAAAGCCAAGCTGGGCAAAGTGTCTGACATTGCTGTCATGTATCTCGGCATCCATCATAAGTTCAGGCTCCGGACTCGCATCACCCTGGCCCATCACTTTAGTGTAATTGTTGTTGACTGGTGCTGACAATGGTGGACGCTATGCCGATCCATCAGTATGGTGGTACCCTCATGAAATGAGGCCTACCTTGTGAACGAGTCTGGTGTTCAATGTAGTTATGGTTGATGTGGGAGGTGGCGAGATACACTGAAAGCCCCTTATGTGAATTGTGGCCCCTTTTTTCCTCAATGTTTTCAAACAAATACACATGCAAACAAGGCTTAAGCATGAGCCCTCCGGGCCTCCAAGTCAACGGAAGGTGTAGCATCAGGTGTCATTCACAGGAAAGCTATGGTATTACTGCTAGTTACTGTCCATTGTCAGTCGTCCACCACAAGTCCAGTCGTCAACTCAATGTATTTCCTCGCGATGGCAGACGGCTTCGTCATCACATGCCCCTCTCCTCCTTGCTGGTAAGTGAAAAGGTCGTCGAACTCAGCGTGGAATTCTCGGTGAGTGCGCTCCACCAATGCGGTATGTTCTGCCTTGCGCTCATCACAGAGTTTCTGGACAATGGCAGTGAATTTCATCCGCTCAACACTGTCAGTCTTGAAGTCAGCCCAGAAGTGATCTGGGGTGCCCCGCCGGTAGTGTTCGACGACATCCTGCACAACCAGGAGGAGGATCAGATCTGTAAGGGAAGCTGTGATAGCGGAGGCACTTACCCGCCAGTCAGTCCACTTGCTTTTCGTGCCCTTCCATTGCTGATTGTGGCAATAGTGGTAGAGCAATGGCCAGTACTTGACAGCGATGGGGTGGCCTTGGATGGTGATGATGGACTCGTTCAACCAGTGCACCGTATCGTCGTCCCACATTGCATTGAGACGCAGGATATCATTGGCAAAGCTGACAGCGGGGGGATCTGGGATGTTGTCATCCACCAGTTGGAGAATGGTGCCATACCCAAGGTTGAGAACATGCAGCTTGTTCGAGCTGCCCAATTCCACCATCGAAGGAGGTTGTTGGCAGGCAGTTGTAGCTGCGCTGATTGCACCCTGTTTGAAACATGCTGCCGAGTCAGTTTAAACAGATTGATTGTGGGGGGAATCACTACTTACCGTGTCTACTATGTCAGCTGCCTGGGGCCTAACAGACGGCATCGAGCCAGCCGCGATTGGCTGGAGGGCACCTTGAACGATTTCGATGAGCCTCGTGCCCACGTCCTGGATGATGGCATCCGAAGTAGCGGAAGGGTGCAGTACGCTGGGTGTGCTGTGGCTGGGTGGGTCTGGAGAACTTGCTGGCATCGGCATACCATCCGTCGGCTCATATGGGTACGCGCTGGTGATGGCATCAGCCTGCCCACCAGCATATCAGTTCAGCGGTGTCATGTCGTCTCTCACGAAGGCACTCACCCAAGGTAGCAGCGCCCTGATTTCCGGTGCCATTCGCGTGTCCTTGGACCAACTGACGCTGGTGCCCGAAGTGCTTGGTGCGACTGTCACACCAAGCAACTGCTCGCGACGCTGCGCGGATTGCTTGGGGCGGCTGGCCTTGGGCTTGCTCATCGAGCACACGCGTGGGCCTTTGTGAGGTTTGTGAGCCCCCGGCCGGAGCCTTTGAAAGGGACAATAGCAGGTGAGCGTGACTAGGGTTATGTTTGGGAAGATTCACATACCTATCCCACAAATCTCGGTCTCCACTGAAAACTTCCAGCCGCTCGCGAAGGATGGACTTGGTGCCAGTGGAAGGGAGCCCAAGCTCATGGCACAGTTTCTACAGTGCTTTGACAGTCATGTTGGAGCTTACCATGGGCGGCATTTATCCGAGTCAGCCATGAGGGAAGAAGGCGAAAGAGACGAGCGACTCACATGGAGATGTACTGGACCTCGGGCTCTCTGTCTGGTCGAAATCGGAGTGGGAAAGGGAGGGCCTGGTCTGCATTAGGTGAGTCCTGGACTCCTCGGCCTCCGCTGTGCGTGTCAGCAGACTCGACGTGCTCGACTTCACCAGCATCGGCGCTCCAGAACGAGTCACGGTCAGCGACAGAGCCATCCGTGGCAGCAGTAACGAGGTGAGTGGAGAGAGTGGCAGTGGCAGCATGACCGAGCGAGGTCATCCTGATGATGTTGGCGCAGTCGTTTGACCTGCACCGTCGGCGGCGGGGGACCGGAAGACAGCCACAAAAAGAATCGATGGGGATGATTGGCCTCCACCAGTGATAGGTGACCAGGAGGAAGAGGAATGAGAGGAATATGGCGGCAAGGGCTAGGGCTCCGCCCACGTGCAGGCTGCCTCCTGGGTTGGCAGAGGGGCTCGTAGACGAGGACGAGGACGACTCGTTCGGCAAGGCAGACAAGAGTCCACGCGCGACAGCGAGAGGGATTGGAGGGATTGAGATCTGCAGGGGGAAAAGAAGCACAGGTGCGGATCAGCTTGATTGCGCAGGATGGGGATCAGGGGATGGGACGAGAAAACGGCAGTTCCGGGGGTCTGTGCCATTGCGATCAAAGCAAGAAAGCAAGAAAGACGTTCCAATGCTCACGTCATCGATGAAACAGCATTTGCCGAAGCGTCACGCCCGCATGCGGACGGTGTTGTTTTCGAGAGACGTATATGCAGATCGCTTCGAAATCTGATCTCGAGAATCTCATCGGAAAAGTGGATGATGTTCTCGACAGTATGGAGAGATGGGACTCAATATGCAAGATCTAGAGGAAGGAGGGGCAGTCACCATTGCGGTGAAGAAGTTGAGGGATACAGTGAGGAACATGCTGGAGAGCTTAGTCGACGTCAACAATTATTAGTCTAATTATGATGGCGCTTGCATGTTGTGTTAGAGTCCTGGAGTCACAGGGCGGTGCTTGTGTAGAAGTGGGAAGTATCAAGACATGAACGAAATTGATATTGAATTATTTGACTTGTTGACATATGTCAGGAACAGCGAGCATGAGATGCAAATATTCAAGAGACCAAATGTAAACATCGACCGGGGTGCAGGGAAGATTGTTCCATGAGCTTAAAACTATATGCCGTCACTGGTGAGGTTTCTGCCCCAGTCACATCCCTTCATCGGTATGCATGGGAAAACAAAGATGGGGCGACAAACACTGATCTATTAAAAAGCACCCTTCTTTGGCAGAGGTGTAAGGAATAACACTGAAATCGATGAATTTGCCCACCAGAAGTGAGTCCTCACCTGCGCCGTCTTCGTCTCCTTCCTCATGCTCCATATCACCCTGCCCTTCGAGGTGGTCAGTTCTTAATGGGCCGTCCACGTTTCCTCAACGTAGGCTTTGCCATCTGTCTCCTGGGAAGTCCGAGTGATGGATGGGGCTTCTACGTGTGAGACATCGATACTGTTGTCAAAGAACATGAACTATAAGAACCTAGACAGTATCAGTCTCCTCAGTCTGATGTAACGGACTATATTAGCAAGTACCTAGACAGTATCAGTCTCTATGAGTGATACATGAGTAATCTAGGTACGGCGTGATAACAATAAGTGACTTACCCTCAGTCTGATGTAACGGACTGAGGGAAGAGGGGAATGATGGCAGGTAAGATATATATATGTCATCCATGGTTGGTATTCCAACCTCTAAACTCCACACACGATGTTCATATCGCTCACGTGCATATGACGTGCACTAACATGAACTGAAATCGATATTAAATCATGAGTCATCTGACCCTTGACTTGGTAGACACATGTCATGCGTGCATTGCGCTGCTAGATGGCAAGCGTAGTGCTCAATCAAAATAAGGTCCACAGAGGATTTCTATCCAAAGATACTTAGCTAGTTCTCTGTTATATAATCGACCCATGACTCGGTCAAAGGTCTCACTTTACAGACGAAGGAAGATCATATCTCACATGGCAGTGGACAAATCCTAGTAACGTATGTAGTTCGACAGCCTGCTCGACGTGATCGAGATTCGAGAACAAAACTAGCAGGAACCTTAACCCTAAGTCACTCGGTTTGGCTCAGTGATAATTGCACTTATCAGTCACGCTACACCTAAATTGGCAGTTCACGAACACCCGAGCACTGAGCGTCAACAATTTGAGACTTGGACGTGTTCGTGATGGTTATAGGCACTCGACTGCGCTCAACCACCTTGTGCTTATCTCTGTGTGCTCAGACTCTTCCTCATTCCACTGGCTTTTATTTTGGATCCAAATACATATACTAGCTCTCACTTATTCGTGTAAAAAGCATCGAGCACTGACAGCGCCCAGGACCAGCACGTCCCCTGCCCCAGAACAGGGTACCTAGGCTGGCCAGGGGCAAGGGCAGTCCTTAATGGGAATCCTGGGGTGATATGCAACAAATAATAATAGGATGGCTTCCCAACGTTCAGCATTCAACTTTGGCATGCTGATTGCCGCAGCAGGCTTTGTCACTGTACATAGCTGGCCCTATGGCTTATACTGTGACACCCGACCACAAATCCAGAACGTGTCGAATTTCCAATCTAAGCGAGAAGAATAGGTCCCTTGGCTTGGCTTGTATTCCACCTGTACTTGCTGGGCTTAAGCATAAAACTGTCTAATTAGACACACACCTTTATGCAAAAATGCGTCTAATCCTCGATATTAAGCATCACCGCCAAGATAACTGCACTACAGCATGATAGCATTTGAGCTTCAAGCATCACCATACAGACCGTGCTGACATCAGGCCTTGCACTACCTAATCTTGCCCAGATCTTGCCCAATCTTGCCTGGATCTCGAGCAGTATTCTGGATCTGTGTTCCTGATCTTATCAGTGTCCTACTCTTCTCATACATCAAACAGAAGCCATCAAAACAGGTTAATATTAATATGTAAGCATCAATATCCTATGGGGCGACAGGCAATGGTAACTGCAGGAGAACCAGTACTACACTCCACAGGGCTAGGAATCGGTCTCGCGTAGCCCTCCGCATCGCAGCCTGGCGTCTGGCATATCCGTGCATACCCTCCCGTTCTGCTGCGGTCAAGCCAGTCCTGCGAACGGCCTGCTCCTCCCACCACGCTGCATGCCAGGAAAGAAATTCTGTCCCTTTGTCGCAGCTTCAGTGCGTTTCTCCTGAATGCAGATTTTGAGGTCTTTCCATATGTGAACTCCGAACAACATAGAACAGCCGACATAAACAGCCTGAACAGAGTTTAAGCACAAGACTCGAAGACTCATCAGACAAACTCACCGTTACTGCCAAGCCTTTCACAGAACACCTACAAAGTGACAAGGTATACAGCCCTTCAGCTGTGTGGATAACACCGAGTATCGTAGCAAGAGTCTGAGCAGCAAAACTGAGACCAGTGAAGTTTTTAATCGCGTTTGCTGGGGAAAAGAATGTATCCACGGTGGTGGCAGGGATAGAGAACAATGTCGTGCCAGGGGGTGGTGGTGCAAGAAGATAAAAGTACGTGAGGAAAATGAATGGCGTCATGATAGCTTTGGGAGGAAACCGAAATGTGGTCAACTTGGGAACTTTGAGCTAAAGTGGACGCATGTGCATCAGACACAAGACAGATTGAAGGCAATATTGTTTGCAAACATGTACCATACCAAGACCATCAACCGCCTGCTACTGATGTCGATTCTGGTGGTAATGAAAGTTCCACTCGAACGATTTCACAAGACCTGTACTAACAAATGAATGAATGAATGTTGAAATTGCTGAAACATTGAAACATTGAAGGCTGCACGTGAGGTAACTTACCATAACAGTTGGTTCACTTAAATGGGAGACACTTCAGGACAAATGAATGTGACAAACAGTATTGCCTCAAAGTCAGCACCTGGTTATTTTGCCACAAGTTCTCAGCTTTCGAGACAGCTCCTGCGAGCTTTTCGGACCATTATGACCCAAATATCACTTTATAAATTACAAGCGGACCAGTCGCCTTTGGACATCGCGTCTGTTTTACAATCAATTACAATAACAGTAATGAAAGTAGATGGGTAGAAAAAAACGGACCAAAAAGAGTGAAAGATGGTGAAAGCACTGACATTGAACGTTGGTTAGCATGGTGGACGTGGCACAACACACCTGCACTGATTCCACCCCCAATGGCAACAGGGCACACCCAGATCTCACGTAGGTTCCCATGCATCGGCGTAGAGGTGCCTGAACATTTGGATCCGACAGAACGCACCGGGGGACGAGAAGCTGCAAAGGGACAACAGAAGCTGCAAAGGAGAAGGAAGAAGCTGCAAAGGGCAGGGAGAAGCCGGAAAGGGGGAAAGGGCCATTTTAGCCTACCAAAAAAGGGATTTTATGCATGACGAGAAGCTTTAAGCATCATCGCAGACACGAGAAGCTTGAAGCATAAAGCAGGCATGTATGAAGAAGCCTTTAAGCATCAAGATACAAACATCAGGGAACTAGACAGTTTAAGCATAAAGGTCTGTGTCTAATCAGACACTTTTATGCTTAAATCTGACACTATAGCCTGTGTATTCACGACTTACGAACTTACACCAAGATGGCGACATTCGTGGACACCCTCAGCATCAAGAATGACATGTTCGTGATGATTTCAGGCGCTCAACCAGCTTGCTGTGTACCACCACAGCTTATATATGTGCGCTCAGACTCTTTCCGATTCCACTGCCTTGTATTATGGATCCAAATATTCTTAGCTCTCACTTACTCATGTCGGACTTAATGTCGAGCACTGACGGTGCTGAGAACCAGGGTGTCCATGCCAATGAGCAGCTTGCCCCAGACCAGACTCTGGGACCCCCAGAGGATTCAGAGTAAGTGACTGATTCCTGAGATCTGTCACCAATATAACAGGAAGATAGGGAGAAGGAAAATGGTGGACTCTCAGCGGTGAATCCACCATCAGGAATGTAAATAATTCTGTTCTGGTGCCTCTATGTAACTCATGAGAACTGCAGCTCAAACACTGGGCCTTCCGATTCATTAGAACATCACGAACAGGAAAGTGCTCCTAAAGTCTTACAGGACGGCGATTTAGCTTCGTAAGTCCCTATTGATGGCAATTTTAAATAAAGCCAATGAATTATCTCAGCCAGACAGAAAAGGACCAGCCGACTCTAAGAGAATTGTGAGCGACAAATTAGGCAAGTGATAGTAGCTGACGACACCCTACATGCAGAGCACATGTCATGGAGAAAGTACTAGATGTTCTCCAGAACTCGACGATTGCGTCGATGAGTGATGAGGACAATCGGTATCGTTTCTGGGGGTTTTACGGACAAGTCACAGCGGAACATGACCAGAAGTTTCTCGACCAATACACCAATGACATGGAGAGTATCTTGCTCTTCGTAGGTTTCGCACCTTCATCTTTGATCCGTTGTGAGACTGATATTTGATCAGTCTGGTCTTTTTTCCACTGTTAGCTCATCTTTCATTGTTGCCATGGAGTCCAATCTCAGTCCTGACCCCAGCGACACCACGAATGCCCTTCTCGCGCAACTCGTGCAGATTGGACTCGGAAACCTCATTGCTGCGGGCTCCACGCCTGTAGACCCAGCATCTACGTGGTCGCCACCTGCGTCGGCTGTGAGGATCCAAATGATTGCATATGCAAGCTTGTCCATGAGCTTGCTAGCAGCATTCGGGGCTGTCCTAGGCAGGCAATGGCTTGGATATTACAAGTTCTACAGATATGGATATGGTTGTGGCTTGCTGGAGAACCGAGGAAAGCGCAGACAAGAGATGTTTGACGGTCTCATCATGTGGTATTTCGATGCTGTCATACAATCCTTTCCCGTCTTGCCTCAGGTCTCCATTTTTCTCTTTGAGATCGCCCTTGGTGCACACATGTGGTATCAGCAGCCCAGCATCGCTTGGGTGATCATTGCCACAATGGTCTCTGGATTTCTGTTCTATTTGCTGACAGTGATGGCATGTTTGATATCGCCTTCTTGTCCATTTCAGACACCAATGTCAATGATCTTATGTATGTCGGGCATTGACAGTAAGATCATTTCGTGAATTCTTGTGGTCATCCCTCATCTGAATCAACATTGCAGGGGTTCTACGCCCTGTATTCAAACGAGTCTTCAGGTATTTCCAGCAGCTCAAGACGTCAGCGCATGGTGAGCCATATTTTCTTACGTGTTCTCCTATTTTGACCATTTCTAATCAGGCGTGTTGCTAGGAATACTTGGGGCCCTCAAATCAAGTTGGACCGGATCTTATGAAGCGCTTGCAGGTGATGTTCTTATATTCTCTTACACAGGATACCCATTGCTCATTTCACCCCCCAGGCCTTGTGTACGCTTCTGGCGCATTCGCACAACGGTCTCTTCAGCTATTATCTGCCGTGCTTCGCAAAGGGTTGCGTTCTTTGGCTCCGTGCCCTTCGACAAAGGTAGGGGACTCAGAGGCACAACCACCCGACCAGGATCCAGATGTTTTGGTGGAGGAGGAATCTATCCTTACCCTAGACCTCTGGGACATATCCACCAGCGATCTAGAGGCACCTAGTATCAAGTGGTTGCTTGAGACATCCACTGATCCTGAAGTAGTTCTTGCTACTGCCAAACTTGTTCCGCAGGTGGAATGGCCCTTGGATCTTGACGTTTCAGACATGCTGCATCAGCTGTCTGATATTTTTATGAGTTGCGGCGATATTCAAGGAAACATTGTACCATCGTTGGAGGAGAAGGCCTCAGCATGTACAACAGCTCTGACTCATCTATACTATGGACGTGTTCTTCAGGCACATCCTGGCTGTGACTATTTCATTGCCCACGATAGAGAAGACACTGACGTGTTTTGGGAGATTTTCCGCAGAGGCATCTGTACAACAGACCGCACGGTTCTACACATGACCATAAATCTTTGTAGTCCAAATAGTTTTACGTATGCTCCGCTTGTGTCAGAGGCTTGCCCTGACTCCGTCCTTGAGCGGCTGTCGCATCTTCTTCCTTATCACTTTGTTACTGGACGAGTGAACACAGACATAGAAGACCTCATGATAACAGTGATATCAAAATTGCTATCCTCTCCATCCCCTCCGTTGCCCCAAAACATAGCCAATTGCACACTTCTTGCTTGCGTCATGGTCGGGACTCAGGTTGACAAGAAAGACATAGTTTGGATTGATAAAAGGTGCCATCGACTTATTTGGTGGTTTTTCTACCTTGATTAACAAAGAAATCATGTAGTTCTTTTCTGCCTAAACTCAGTGGCCTCTTTTTGCCGCAGTTCCAAAAGGCTCTCTGGGCATGGGATGGAGGTGAGCTCGACGAAGATAGTACAGGAGTCGCATATCAGGCATGGAACCTCCTTGACGTTATCTGTCGCATCCTCGAGCTTGCTGGATATCACGATCCTTCATCCCACACCATGCGGAACCTGGAAGTGTGCAGGAAGATTTATTCACGAGTGAGGTCATCTGAACAGAATGATGACTCTGTTTCATTGGCAGCTCTGCGAAAGGCACTGCACTTCACGTTCGCTGCTGCCAATGTATCTCGTGACCCTTCCCAGTTGTGGGATGCTTCCCTGCCTTTGCAATGCGGTTCCCGCACACCAGAAGAGTTCGACTGGTTGGTGGACTACCTTGACTACATCTATGCTGCCGACCATGAAGCGGCATATGACATCCTCTTGCTATTGGGTAGCATGGGAGTGAGCTGCAGCCCCGCTAAACAACATCTGTTCGTCCAGAGCCTCATCGCCTGCATGGACAGTAACATGCCTCCCCACTTACGCCATACTGCTCTTTGCGCTGCTCACAGTGCCCGAGACGAAATTGCCTCAATCAATGCCATTGATGATGCAAGCCTATGGGACACAGTTTTATGCAGGCTCTCCTCCGCTATTCTGTCCGTACTTTTTCCACACCCAGGTACAGCACCCACCAATGATGATGCTGACCACTTTTTCGATCATGACCACAACTTGTGCTATGTCGAACTGGTCTGTGCCCTCGCGAGGAATTCCAACTGGCGTCCTCATTTGTCTGAAGATCACCATATCGATCGGTGCATTAGCATGATTCCAAAATACTGCAATTATGAAGACTACAGCCAACATGCCTTTTACATAGCAGGTATCCTCATCCAAATCACACCTGCACAAATGTCAGTTCCATCGCTCGATTCTATTACAGAGCAGCAGTGGTAGGACGTGATGAGATGCGCGTGGTATTATCTTCCCTATACCATTCGCAGAACACACGATTTCGAGCTCCTTGTCCTTGTGGAACGCACAAGGAAGTATATGCAAAACGCTTCGAAATCTAATCTCAATGATCTCATCAGAGATGTGGATGATGTTCTGAAGATGGGTCCGGAGATGCAAGGTTTAGAGCAACAGGAGGGGGTCATCATTGCTGTGAAGGAGTTGAGGGATGAAGCCAACAGGTAGAGCCTTGTTGAACAATTAGTCCCCTAGTTATATCCATGACGCATATGGTGTTAGAGTCCTGGAATCAGCGGGACAGTGTATGTACTGAACTGGCAAGTGTCAAGACCTCGACGAAATCAACATGTTTCACGGGGTCAAAACTAGACACTGTCACTGGCGAGGTTCTGCGCTCTTCCTTGCCAGTCGCATCCTTTCATCGATATGCACGGTAAGACAACTTAAGATAGGCCAATACATGCTGACTTTATTGAAAATCATTCGTCTCCGTATCACAATCGCCCTTCTTTGGCAGAGGTGTAAGGAATAGAGCTGAAATCAATAGATTTCCGATCTTTCCTGGGACGTACGGGCGATGGATGGGGTTTCTATATCTCAGAGGTAGACGGTGCTATCAAAGGACATCATGAACTTGCCTTCACGGAGCGCTGCTGGCTGTTCAGACGAAGCTACGACTCGGATGTGTAGTAAGCCTAATCAACACATACTAGTAGGGTAGGGTCTCTGTTCGCAACTGTCTTCCTCTTCAAGTTAAGGCCGCCTGCCCAACTACTACGGGAGACTACGCCCAGAACTCAATTAACAGTCAGCCTGAAAGATATTCTGAATCACGCGAAATTGTGGTGCGCACGTGGGGTACTTATTTCTGATTGGACATGCATGATTAAGGGAATTATACATAAGAAAAATTTCAAAGATATGCGCGTAATATGTTATAACTTGAATGTACTGGCAATGTAAGCCTACAACCGGAATGAGCACAAGCTATCAGACACGGGAAGTCAAGTCAAGTGGCTCCTTCTACCACGTCCTTCTTAATCCTATCGGCTAACTGCTCTGTGACGTCCGGAGTCAAACCGCACCTCTTGATGAGGCAAGGGACAATATTATTCTTCTTCGAATGCGATTTCCCTGAGACTAGCCCCCTCAGCTTTCGCATCAACGACATGAACTGGTTGTCTCCTCCTTCCCATCATCGCCTCTGCCCATCAGCAGTGAACTCCTTGACAAGGTTGTGGATCGTGGTGCGCGATTCCTCATACCATTCTGGACAATTGCCTCGGATGGCGGTGATGCACGCATGACCATCGACACGGAACTGCTGGTGACAGAGAATATCTTGGTTTCTCCTCCACCAGTTATCCATTTCCCCAAGTTCATTTTCAAGGTATGTGATCACCATAACGATGGGGACCTTCTTTTCACAAAGGAATTCGCGAAAGAGCCGGTAATTGCTTTGAAGCGTAGCAGTGAGTTGGCTGGCACGCATGCAGAACATGAGTAAATCGATGCCACCCTGTCTCTCCAACTTCTGGATGAGAATATAGGCATTCTTGACAGCATCGAGGTACTGTGGGATTTCCAGGTGTGATTCCTCGAGTCCAACAGTATTGAATATATTGTAAGAGCGGTCATTGATTTTGATGAGGTATTCTTTCCACTTCAGCATGCAGCGTCTCACGCCAACGGATGTCTCACGCCAACGGATGTCTCACGCCAACGGATGTCTCTGCTACTGTCATATCCCGTATTCCGGACCTACATCCGATAATATTCCCACGCCTCATCCGGACCTTCGGATGTCCTATCCATGTCTCCAGTCCTCTACCCATCCGGATCCATGCACCTCTGCACATCCACATCCGCATGTCCACGTCCAGATCCCTTATCCTTTGCAGCTAGCCTGCATCATTAATCCTTGTTCCATTGCCCTAATGCCACATCCTATATATCCACGCATCTCATCCGGACCATATCCGATCCGGTCCGATCCGATGTATAGATCCGTTTACTATCCGATATACGATAAGCTTCTTAATTCATTTCCTGTGCATAACGTTAACACAGCCTATCCGGTATTCCTTGTTCCCGGTACCTCGGTTATACTTACTACCGGTATGCTTACTGATCCGTTAACCTATGCTTCATTTCTGACTCGCATTTGATAACTTTGCTTATGCTTCATACATAGCCTTGGACCTTTGCTTATTGATCTTTCCGATAGTCACTTAGTATATAAACTCTTGTATATGTCCTGTAGTTCCTCAGTCTGAATATCATATTAGTCCTCGCACTAGTCTTCACTCTAAGTCCTCATATCAGTTCTAGTCTTCCAACTTAGTTGATATCCATCTCAGGCCTAGGGAGTTTCTCCCTAGGCCAGAGCTCCGCTCCTCCGCTCCTCCACTCCTCCACTCATCCGAAGTTCCGGAAGTTCGTCCGGAACTTTCCTGCGGTCCTCCGGACCTATTCTGCTTTGGACTTTGTCCTTGCAGCCTTTCCTCTGTTTGCTTCTACTCAGGACAAGTCCTGAGTAGCCATTACATGTATCTGTATTAGGACGAAACCCCATTGTAATTTCCGGAAGTTCCTCCGGAACTTTCCCGCACTCATCCGGAAGTTACTTGTACCCGTCCGGAAAGTCCTTCTGAAGTTTCCCGTGCCTTCGGATGTCTTTGGACTTTCTTCAGACACCAATCTGAAATTAAGGGCACATACTCGGGTAAGGGACGCAGCGCATGAGCTGAAGCCAAGCCCCTCAGAATCAGTCCTACCCTTTGTGCATGGTCTTAACAGCTACGTTCTCTCCCGCTATCAGATTGACGAGTGAGCTTTTGCCTGCCCTTGCCTGCCCAATGATGGCGACCTTTGGGTGATTGTTGCTACTGATAAATGTCAGGGAAATGCGATACAAAGAGTATAGGGAATACGCACCTCGCAGTCTTTCTAAATAGTAGTGATGGTCCAGTGTGATTATTCGATGGGTGACACTGCTCGATGAGTTTGCAGACAGCGTTGTATGACTGAGTGCGGCGCTGCACAAACATAGGATCTGCCATTGTCGCCGTGGTAATACATGCGTGGCCAACAAAGGTCATCCCGAGCTTTGAGATGGTTCGCTCATTAACCCTCCACCAGTCTTCCGTCTCTGGTTGATAGGATTCCAAACCTGTAACGATAAGGACAATTGGAACTTTTGTCTTTACTTGGGAGCGGATTAACTCATAGTTCCAGTGGAGTGTGCGAATCTCTCTCTCTTGCTGCACACAGTCATCAGAGAACCGATGAGTCCTTGACATGGTAGCCATGGGAACTATATGAGGACATAATTCTGCTCCTGCAAAAGATGGTTATGTATACTGGAAGAAATTCGAGTTATCAACACATAGCTATGGATGTCTCAAAATCTAGTTTACCATGAGGAGTTCGTGATTTTGTTGTGATTTTGTACCATCATGTCCGGCAAGTTATAATAGCGTAGTTAGGTCCTGCATGTTGAGCAATATAATATTCCCTTGCTTATGTTTTGAACTACATGATTATTCATGACTTTATCCCGGTAAACGCCATTAACACTTGTCATCTAACCTAGATTTGTATAAGCACTTCCGACATAGTTAGGACTTTTCACCATCCGGCCGGTAAGGTATGACAGTTTAATTGTGTACCTTTTGTTGAGCAATCTAATATTCCATCATTTGTGTTGTATTTACAAGACTTTATCATGAGATTCAAATATTGCTTCGATTACAATGATATCCGAGATCATCCACTTATTGTTTAAGTTCTATTTATACCGAATTTCTTCAGGTGTGCACATATAACGCAAGCCGTAGCAACATTTGTTACTGAGGTATGGTCTCTCCTAGTCCGACCAAAAGAGAAGGAAGACGTTGCTTACAATGATATCCAAGATCATTCACTTATTATTTGGTTTCGACTTACACCAGATTTCTCCAGATGCATGCATATACCGCGAGCCGCAGCACTGTTTGCTACTGAGACATAGTCTCCCCTAGTCAGACTATGATGCGACCACGACACTCTGCGAGGACCAGTAGGCAAACAAATTACGCAAGATATTTCCAAGGCTGACAGATGAACTTACCTGGCTGGATGAGTTTAATGTCGCCACATTTTGAGTGCAAGTCATACGTGTTTGTCGTTCGAGGTGTTTGAGTCTGAAACACGGTCATCAAAGGTGAGCATCTATCAACAGTTTCTCTAATGAACGGTACAGCTGTAACTTTCGGCAGGCAGAATTAGAAAGAGATATAATCAAAATCATCGTCTGCATCCCCTTCTTCACTGTCGTCCCCCTCTTCACTGTCGTCCCCCTCTTCACCGTCATCATCCCCAGCACCACCGTCCAGTTCTCCGTCGCTCTCATCATCGCACTCTTCAAGACCCTCGTTATCACTGTGACAGTCCTCCTGTTCATCAAAGCCTTCGTTGTCGTCGTCATCGACTTCATAGTCTGCATCCTCGCTGTTCACAATGCCTGTGACATCGGCTCGTGCCACCAACTCAGAAGTGAGACAATCTTTGATAATCTTGCACAGCTTTGTTGAGTGTCCGACTCCAAAATGAGTATAGCGCATGAACATGTCTCGGTCGGCAAATCTAGTTCAAATCTCCAGTTAATGCGCTACCACAACGAATATGTACACTCACATTCCGACATAATATTCTTCCCAGTCATCCAGCTGACCCCCAGGACATGCTAGTGATTTTCCATATCGAAGAGAGCCTACACCACGTCCCGATGCAAATGCAGGAATCAAGTGGGCTCCTTGGATTACCTGTGTTGGATCAAGGAACCCGAACACGTCTGGGTCCGACTCCTCTACAAACACAATGTTCGGCAGACGGGTATGTTTCATGCCGCTGTGAAGAAGTAATAGTGACCGGCCAGCAAGCAAGCTAGAGCACTAATAAAATCCTACTGAGTGCGGGTGTGCTATATCGACCCAAGAGGATTGCTATGAAGCACTTCCTTCAAGTAAAATGCGAAGGGAGTAGATGCGGAATGCGGAAGAACGAACACGATGGACGGAAGGCAAAGCCGACAGTAGGAGCGAAGGTGAGAGCCCGAGCCTGATGAAGGCATGATGGGAAATGAGCGAGAGCGAGGGTTTACTAGGTAATGCGCAGTTCCGCGGGTAGCGGCTAGGTATGGACGAGGGTTATAGCCGAGGTATAACTAGGTATGGAATGCTTAGTCTGAACCTGCGTACGGAACAGATTCACACAGAGCCTAGGTAAGGAACTTAGATGTGCGTTCTCGGAGCGGTCGAGAATGCGCGGGTTCGAGTAAATGAGAGTCAAAGATCGTCAATTGGTCAAAATACTAAGAACATCTAAGTGACTTCGCGAAACAAGGGATAGTGTCCGAGGGAAGGGAAGTACTTTACTGTATGTAATGCGCGAGATTTTATCCTACTGCATGAGTCTCCGGAACCCATAGGCGAGACTTGTAGCGATGGAACGAGGCAGATAAGTAATATGTAATGCGAACGTGCGCGGAACGAAACACACAGATACATGTAATAAGCCATACCACATTATTAGTCAACCCAAATAGAAATAAACACGCACCAGCGGAACTCGACGGACATGGAAGGACATGGACGGATGGAACGGAAAATTGGACCCGAGAACGGAAGACCATCGGATTAAGCGCGACCAAGGAGGGCTTCGTTGTTAGAGGCATAAGGAATGATGTCAGCGGGTAACTTCCTATATCTCCTGACACAAGTATGAAAAGACACTCGTTCCCGCCCAGCGCGGGTCCGAGCGTCACACCGCATTTATAGTTCCACAAGGTTGCTAACCATCTAACCCAAAGAACTTCGAGATGCTGCTTCTTGGGTTGACCCCCATCGTTGACCCAAACCTCCATATGATATATGCCCAACACGTGTGCATACCAGTATGGGTGGCTAGGCGTCGTCTCGCCTGACAGCACCATGACATCCCCATGAGTTCTGGGATTGATGGTATCATATTCGTGCCTCAAGTCGTAGGTCGTATAGTGAACTTGCATGGTCTGCACCGAGTACATTGTGTTATTGGGAATGACGATGGAGTTGTGTTCCTCGTCCGTGAAAGTGTGGTCGCAGTAGCTAATGTCTAGCCCCCGCAATCTATAGAGGATATGATCCCTTAGCTTCGGTAAAAAATTCTGACAACCGCTGTGGATAAATCATAGAGTGCATGCAAAATGCAAATGAAGCTTCTACCTTAACAGCCGAATCGCTGTCATGTTCTCGGAGAAATGTAAAAAGTTTCACTGGATTGTTCCGAGTGGGTGCGATATGGTGATGTTGATTAGAAGGTGTCAATGGGGGGGCATCGGCTGGTGAATGACTGCCGTAGGATGTGTCTCCTACTTCTGCCACCCGCCGTAGTACGCGGCGCCTACGCTCATGCTTGGCTAGCTGTGCCGGGGTATCTATCTTGCTCGTCAACAGATAAAACACCTTCAGCGCTCTGTGGGCAAGCTCTCCCTAGCTAACTTCAATATCAGGTACACAAAATAGATGCAGATGGTACGTACAATTTGAGTTGTGAAAGAATCGGTGGTCCCAAAGAACCTGATCGTCCACGTGTAATCTCCCATCGCATGGAACTTATACGTATTCAAATTGAACCTCTTTATTCTCGCCCCATTTGATTCTGGAGGGGCGCCGTTCATTTGAGAGTGTTGAGCAGCCCTTCATTGGTGAGCCATTTTCTCTTTGGGCAATTCCAGAGCATCGAAGGCGGCGCAGGTACAATTTCGGAATTTCTGCAACTTCCGGGACAGTTTCTTGAATGTTTCCTTGAGAAAATTGACTGTAGACTCTGAGTGGATCCTAAGTTTGGTAAGTGCATGCCACTGTGCAAATTGATAAAGTAGAGACTGTACGATCACATCATGGTCGGGGGGGAACAACCCCTCAAAGACAGGAATTGCACACTAACAATGAAGGACTGTCAGCGCCGGAATGCAGAAAACAAATAGCCCCCAAAAAACCTGTAATATGTCTTCGAAGTCATGTGCCGCTAGTCTTTTCATCTCAGACGTATTATTCGAGAACTTGCGAATTACACCATTGCCAAAACTCGGAACCTGTCGAAACCTATCAAAGATTGGAATTTGTCGATGTGTTAGCAGGAAACAACACTTGGTAAGAATACCCCATCCTCATACCTGTTGTCAAGGGACACAACAAGTCCACTACCCTGAGGAAGGACGTAAAGAAGCCTAATTAAGTGCGTGAATAGTGCCTTCCAAGTGCCCAATTCACACTCGTGCATGAAGTCAACGGCGAGTATGTGGAATGGGTCAAAGCCGAGAGGACCCAGCTTTTTGAAAAATTGATTCTGCGAGTTCATGGTGTGAGCTGGACATAAAATGCAGTAAGACAGCAGTTTTGCTTACTAGAGTAGGCACTCATGAACCCTCTCCAAGAGTATGGTCTACCTTTACACCGTCTACCGTATTTCCGCATCTGTAAATAAAATCACGAGCCTGGACAATCCTTGCCATAGCGTACACTCGAAGGTTGGCTATATGACTTCGCATGTCCCTTACGAGGCCGAGAGAACTGAACAGGCTTTTTGGCATGACACAGCGAGGGCACGGACACAAGCCCATATCTTTGATCGTTGTGATTAAAACCCTGTAAATAAATCAGCAAGTCAAATTTTTTGACAAGGTCCCTGGAAAAATATACTTTTCAGGATAATCGGCAGAATATGTGAATATTCGAGGAAAGATCCTCTGCATTACTCCGTCAGCGCACGTCAAACAATACCATGACGATATGCGAAAATAAAGTCCTCATCCAATAAGATTTCCCAGCAGGAATGAAACAGCTCCCTGCGACAGTGAGTATGAAGGGACACCATGCCTGTTTTCGATATGTGAGACATGCTACTCAAGATATCCTTCACGCTATCAGGAAGCTGATATCGTCAATGACGATACATAGGTGCGCTATGTCAAAGAGAACTTACCGAGGGTAGAAAACCAACAAGGTGACATGCTCCTGATAGGGGCGACGAATGTGCGTATTTCGTCAGATTTCCGAAATGCATATAAAGTGGCCAAGCCTTCGCAGTCCCGAAGTTTGCCAGGTGAGTTGCATCGGAGAATAGCATCAGACCTGCGATGACGCGTTCCAACGAGCATCCAGGCTCCTTTGGTAACTTCTGTAGGTCGTCCTGGGCCTCCAGCCACGCATCAGAGGTGTAAAGCTCGTCAAAAATCTGTTCTTGGTGGCCATTCAGAGGATCTTTCCACAGCCGTTGGAAAGGTAATAGATGGAATGCCCTGGCTTGGACATCTGTGAATGCTGCACGTATGACCTCGACGAGAGGACAATAATGGAAACCGGGAATGGTATACAGCTGAGGGTCGTCCTCCTTTGACTTTGTCGGAATGCCAATAGTGATGCTGGTCTCGATCCAGTCATCTGGAAAGGTAACTCTTCTCCCCTTCTCATCCTTATCCAATTCTCGCAAGCTCCGCCTTGCTGAGAAGGTCTCAAGGTCCTTAGGGTTGAAATCATCTGCCATTATTACGTCTTTGACAAGGTGCGAGACTTTGGTTTCAGATATCATATTACTACCGGAATGCATCCAGGACATGAGCCGATAGATAGTCATGTTAGCAAAAGGGTAGGGCAGTGCAGAGATCTTTTGCGGACAATCAGCTCCCTGGGTAGCTGTCGGAGACGTTTTGGCAAGTAACGAGGAGGGAACGAATCGATCTGGCTCAAAAGAAGGCTGACGAGGGTATAGCCGGGAAAGTCCAAATGAATTGAAAGAGGTCTGGAGGGTGTCTCTTAGCATTAAAAGAACACACTGTATCCTGGATTGGGCAGGTAGTGAAGCCATTTGAGCTGGTCCAATGATAGTGTTGTCGGAATGATTAAGATCATCTTGTGGAAATTCGAGATCGTCGAGAGGTCTAGGAATTCGTCTCATAGGGAGTACAGTTTCCTCTGAAAGATTCGAGCAATTGGTAAATACACCAGAAGATGGCTGCTACCCTGGGCAAGGAAATACGAACCTGAATGATAGTCCCACACATTTCCAGAATCACTCCCAATGGAGCCCATCTCAAAATCACTTTCATTAGTTTGCCGGTTCTGCGAGTTGAGGGGGTGCCGCAAGTCTACGAGACTGGACTTGGAGGTGTTGCATAACCCAACAGCCATCGATACTGGCCCTACAAGGCTACAAGGCGCAATTGGTTTCAGGCTCGGACGGTCCCTCACATGTCATATGGCTGGGAGTCTCTGAGGTTGACAATAACGATGATTGAATGTTCTATTTCAAAGCAGAAACCCACTCACTGTGACAGATACCAGATTTGAAAGAGCTGCATCTTTCGCGCGATCTTGTCTTTTTTGGCTTGCAAGAGTGCTGACTCTCTTGTAGAAGTGACAATTCGTGCGATGCCTATTGAGTGCTCAATTGTCTGTCGTTCTTTGCCAAGAGCATCCCGGGGCATTGCAGGACATGGTGACCATTAGGAGAAAGAGGAAAAAGCTAATCCAAAGCGTTTCAGAAAAGCGCATTGCACCTTCGAGCCTGAGTGTACCAGTACACCTACTGTTACAGTGCAACCGACATGAAGTTTCGATTGAAGCAGACCAAATTAAGCCGTTGACCAGTTCAAGCTGAACTTGAACATACAGCATTGACCATTTGTATCTTGGCGTGCGGGATGGGATACTTGGATGCATTCTATTTTGGTCTAACTAATATATAGAGTTAGTGAAGTGAACATTCAAATTAACATAATTTTAAGTGCAGAGCGCAGTAAATACAAGCGAGCAGGAAAGAAAAAGGTTGTGGATAACTCAAACAACATTATGCTTATGATGCACTATGTAAAGGCAATCTAGCGAGGAATGGTCCTCCCAGCGTTGATCGATAGCACTATTGGCGTCAAGTCACTCCCCTTTGCTTGTGGGCAACATCAACACCAGCCCAGTACTAAGCCAAAGCCTCCTGGGCATCTGGCTGGGCAAGGTTGTCGCCAAAAAATGCATGGGCTGCTGCAGCCTCACCCTGTGGATCATGTTGCACATCTGGATGCATCCAATGTGCTGACCGCGTGTGTCGCTCCAGGCCAGAACACTTCACTGATTTGGAACGTGACCGCTCATTCACAATGAACTGTAACTGAACGCAAGGCCACCTACAGCAGGTGGCTTGGGGCTCATCATATCCCTTGATCTTGAAGCATGATGTAGTGGTGACTCGTCCTGTAAACGTCGTGGTAAGGAAGACCAAAAGCTCATTCTTGCTTGCACCGGCTGAACATTTCATGCCAGCAAGCAAGTGACAGAGGGAGATACACTGAGTAACTTGGGGCTCGTCACCCAGGGGAAATCATTGGACAGATCTCTGAGATCCCTAGACCAAGGTGACCTGTCAACACGACCGTGACTTGGGCGCAATCCCTCCACTATCCTTTAAAGCATCCACATCCCTTCCCACCACCACAGTCGCGAGTACAGGCTTCCCTGGGTTTGGAAATGGCAGTCCAGAGTGGGAAGTGCCTGTTTGAAAACCATGCTAGTCAAGGAGGGCGGCGAGGTGAATATTTGATAATCTATGATCTCCATTTAGTGTGTTGAAGGGTGGAGGGGAGGTATAATTTACCTTTGTTATTCTTTGCCCAGACCTCCAGGACGCCCGATGCAAGAGAAATTGATTCAATAGCATGCAGCTGGTCGCTTAAGAGAATCTCCTGTTTGTTTTTGAGGTCTCCAAGATAGTGGATCATATATTCGTTGTCGATCCTTGTTGTCTTCGAAGGCGGACTGCCATTTGTGGATCTCGAGGTGCGAGGTTATCTGGTCAAATAAGTAGATGAATTTACAGATAATAGCTAAGGAATAGACACTTGACATGCCTCTAATTTGTTTAAGCAATCAGATATCTCAAGATGACATCGTTGGATCACTCTGGTGAGTTCATCCTGTTTGATGAATAGTTTGATTCGAGACATCAAACACCATGGAGTCATTCTGTCGAGGATGCCTTGGATGGTGCTGGCTAGGTTATCAGCTGCCTTTCGGACAATGACGTCTGCACGCTATCAACCTTTGTGCGCCTGAGCAAAGCGTGGTTTGGTCATCTGGCACCATGCTTTCGCCTGCATTCTTGATGATAGCCAGAGGACTGAGGCAGTGTTCCTTGAGTTGTCATATGCCATTTCTGTCATAACAGTTGTCGTGGTCAGTGGGAAGAACAGCGCAGCAAAATGGTAGATACCTGTTGGACTCTGCTTTAGCCAGCAGGTTGATGAGGTGGTTAGAGCACCAAATGCTGGACCCAGCCATGGAGCTGGAGTGGACTGCGTTGCCTGAGACAGCGCTGAAGTGGGGTTAATGTGGAAGGAGGAAGCGAAAGTGGCCATGATTGAAGTCAGTTCAGGGAAGACTACTATCTTTCTCCTTCCGCACAAAGTCTGTCCCGTACGTGTATCAAGGCCTTTCCAAGTTTGTTGGCACCATCACCTGAAGGACCATGGCCCCAGTACGCATCATTGGCATCGGCATACACAATATCAGCAAGGCCTGTGCGCAAAAGCAATGTCCGAAGGTCAGGATGTTGCTTGAACTTTATATACAGCACATCTTCCATCTGAAAATACAAAAATAGTCAGGGAAAGTTGATTCGATTGGAATGCCAATGAAGATAATCTCACAGTCCTCAAGAATACCTGGCCCCAATCTGGTTGCACGTGGTCCTGAAAACTAGCTGACAACGGGTACATGTCACCAACATCGGTGCACTTTCGTATATGTTCCTGCAGCTTAGGGTGTTCCGTTGAGTCGGTACGACAAACAGGTGACAAGCAAACACAAGAACACTGCTCGTGGTTGGAGTGCAGACTACAAGCCACATGTGCTACTGCTAAGGCCCGACAAAGACCCCTGACACCTCTGCTGCTCCGAGACCTCTGACACCTCATGCTCTCCAGCCCCTGACCTAGGCTCTGCATATCCCCTACCAACACATATACCCCCCCAACAAATGTGACACTCCTGGGTCGCGTCTCGAAACGGCGTGTCGAGAGTGACGAGCTCGATAGTAGTGGTTTGAGGATCTGGTGGTGTGCGCATCACCCAAGTGTCTTCGTCTCCGTCTTCTTCGACTTGTTCTGCGCCTGTGACATCCTCCAACTCCTTCTGTAGTTCTGCTAGTGCAGTTCTGGAGCGTGGTACGAAACGACGCAAACGTCGTGCATGGTACCATCCAGGCATTGGAAATCCTTCCAACGTGGAAAGTGCGTACGAGTTTCCACATTGGGATACTACTCTTCGTGGTGCCAACCAATGGGGAATGAGTTTGCGTGACGACTTGAAGGTACTGTCGAGTTCATTAGCATATACCTGTACTAGCTGACCAGACGAGAACACGACTTCACCTGGTCCCAACAATAAAACTCTTCAATCAAACTTGAACTTGCGTTTGATGGCGTGTACGACCGTGTGGGCTTGTGCGTCGAGTCGTTGCTGCGCTGTGTATGCTGAGCGAACGTTGGTGTCATTTTGTGAGACTGCGGAGGTGATGTTGTCTGACGGAGTGATAGGTGTGTTGATAACTAATCCTAATAGCAATTCTTTTGGGGAGTACTGGAAGGCTGGAATGGTGCGTTCGTTAAGGTGTTGAATGGCTTCCTCGAAATGATCGGGCCAGTTATTCAGAATTTCGTCTCTTGTCACTTCTGCTATGCATTCATCCTCATCCAACTCCAATGCACATGCACGACGTAACCTTCCAAGCAGCTTACTATTCGTTCCTTCGACTAATCCATTGACCCAAGGTGCGTACGCGGCCGTAACGTGGTGTTGGGTGTTATGTGCTGCGCACCATCCAGCTACTTCGTGATTATCGAAGTGGCGGCCTCCATCTGTCATGAATGACTCTGGAGCTCAGAAGTCATGACATATTTTCATTAGATATTCAATAGTGGACTTAGCGGTTCCTTTCTTCTTGAGTTTGAATCCCCAAGTGTATTGCAAAAATGTGTCGATAAACAGTGCTATTTCCGAGAATCCACCTTTGCCCGATGGCATGCTCAAATAATCAGCTACAATGAGTTCAAATGGGTGACGGCGCACGATAGGTTCTAGCAGAGCATGTAAGTGTGTTGGCCTGAAGTTCTTGCACTTTGCACACTCTGAGATTGCTGTGGTGATAGAACGGTTGAGGCATGAGCTGTGGATTTGGTCCATTAGTTGCAATTTGACGAGGTCCCGTCCCCAGTGTCCTCTAGACGTATGTTCTGCATGGGCTAACTTGATTGCTTCCACCTGGGACACGCATTCCAGGCGGCTGTGTACGCGGGTGGTGGCTTTGTTATTGACATACCAAAGTTTTCCATCCTCAATGTAGTATGATTGTGCCTGGTGCCGTGCGCGTCGTTTGTCCTTTGGCGGTTTGTCTTGATCTGAGTCGAGGAGTGCATCCAGGATCTCTGAGAACATTGGTTCATCTTCGAATCATGAGCGTAGGGTCAACAGGTTATCCGTCGAGTTCTGGGAGGGCGAGTCATTAGTTCCAAGGGTGAATAAGTCATTAACGATACCTCTAGCTGTTTCCCAATCTTCGCTAACTGTCCAAGTGCTTCCGTCATTTGTCATAACCAGCGTGGTTGAGAATTGTCTGCTGAGACCATCTGCTGCTGTGTTAGTTGTTCCCGCTCGGTGTCTGACATCAACGATATGATGGGCGATGATACCATCTCGCCATCTGGCATGGGTGACATTTAACTTCGAGCTCAGTAGAGCATCCCTAAGTGCCTGGCAGTCCGTCTCTATCTCTACTGGTGACCCCCAGATAACATCTGAAAACCTATCTAGACCAAATTTTAGTGCAGCAAATTCAAGTAAAAACGGTTTGTACTTCTCTTCTGCTGATGACGTTCTCTTTGATGCGTATGCGATTGGGTGGGCTTGAGTGGTGGTCTTGCCGGATGGTAGGACTGTGGTAAACTGTTGTGCTAGAATCGCTCCGAAGCCATCTTTGCATCCATCTGTCGTGACGATAAACGGGGTGCCATCGAACCTTGGCCCTCGTAGTACCGGTTCGGACAACAACACTTTCTTGAGCTGTAAAAAGGTGTCCATGTGGTTGTGTTTCCAATATGCTGCCAGGAGGGTCTTGTGAAGGTGGTCGCGATACTTATGTTTGCCTACCTGTTGTCCTTCTGGGGGCACACCGAGTTTTCGTACTAAATTGGTGAGCGGTGCTGCTGTCCTCGCATAGTTCTTTATCAGCGGCCTGAAGTATCCTGTGAGTCCCAAGAACTGCATAAGGTTGTGCAGGGTGCGTGGTGGTGACCAGTCTGCTATGGCAGACAGCTTGGCTAGGTCTGGTCGTACCCCAGCTTTGCCTACTTGTGCTCCCGCGAACATAACCTCGGACATGAATAGCTGTGTTTTCTGTGGGGAAAGCGAGAGTCGTTTTTCTCGAACGCGGGTGAAAAACTTACCTAGTCATTCCAATTTCTCCTCGAAGTTATCTCCTGCCATTCCGTTATTGTCTACATAGAGTTCATACAATAATCCAATCTGGTCCCTCAATGCTGTGGCTGCCATGTCACTGAACGTTGTTGGCATGCCTGTCAGTCCAAACGGCATTCTGCAATAACAGTCATATCCACGGCCTTCAGTGTAAAACGCGAGATATGGTTGCGTGTCTTCATCTACAGGTATTGCATAGAAGCCTGCTGCGAAATCAATGATGCTGACCCACCGGTGTCCTGACAGGCGTTGCTGCTTGGCTTGGATATCACCTTGAGGTACTGGCGGAATTTGGCTTGCCTTGTTGATTTCTGCAAAGTTCTGGCAAATACGCCACTTAGGGCCATTTTGGACAGGCACGGGTTCTGCTATTGCCGGTGGTCGTGGTGGTAGGTCGTCTCGTACAGGGAATCCATGTTGTTCGCATTGGTCGTTGACACGGTGCCATAGTTCCTTGATTGGTATGCTGGCTGCGCTATGTGCCTTCTGGGCTAGAACGGTTGGTGCGGACACTTTGACCTCTTCCGGAGGGATTCTGCAGATGATCCCTGCTGATTCCATCTCGTTAAGTCTTGTGTAGAGATATTCGCGCTGTGGAGGTGTTAGTGGTCGCTGGTTAGTCTTCGTGGAGAACGTTGCATCTGGGGGAAACATGAGTTTGAAAGACTTGAAGTCTACTGGAAATACTTCCTTAACTGTGATAGCAAACATATCTGCGTATTGTGTAACAAAATATCTTACTTTGTCCTTCTGTTCTTTCGTTAAGTCCTCCCCGATTGTTACTAGCTTCAAAATCTCCTTCACGCGCACTGGGTTGAACGGGTCCGTATGTCGTGTGTAGATGCCTTGATTCTCTGCGTTGGGCAATGGAAACTCTGGCACTTCTCCGATTTCGTCGTCTGAAGACGTCGTCTCGGTGAACAAGACTGGGGTGCAAGGTGAGCGGTAATGTTTGTTGATCAAACTTGTTGGTATCAGTGCAGGTTTACGGTCTGCTAGCACGACGTGTGCTCCTGCTCGTGAAAGTTGTTCTGAAAGTTCTGCGATGGCTGTTCTGCCAGTGTCTGAGTCATAGGCGTACACGTATTGTTCATTGGTTTGTACAGAGGATGGGGGAAGGAGCTCTAACGATACAATGTCTGGAGGGATCGTGACAACCATTACATGAGCGTTGGTTGCCTCGACCGTGCATTCCTCGTCTCCGAGTTCTTCCGAGACTGTAGTCTTCTGACTGGCTGGGCGTTTGGATCTAGCTGCCGGAGTGCCGAACATGTTAGGAATGATGGTGGTGCCGAGGGTGGAGGAGTTCATGTTTGGTAAGGAGGTGACATCGTTGGCATAGTTATGGACTGCATGGAGCTGCTGCAATAGCGGTTTACCGATTAGGACTTTCCATGTTCCTCTGCTTGGAAAGACTTCGAAAGTTGCTATGGCTTTTGCCGTACGCCATATGATTTTTCCCGTCCAAACGCCTAAGGATGGTACCAGCGATCCATCGGCCATGCGAAGGACACGTGTTGATGGCAGAAGCCTGCCTATTCTTCCAGAGGCTGTGCGATAGGCTTCTGCATCGATCGCGTTGATCATCGCTCCGTCATTGACGTGTGCGTGAAACCCGGATGTACTACCGTCTTCTCCGTACATATTAACTTGTGTTATGAATGGCTGGCCTTCTGCCTGTGCCGTTCGTGACTCAACCGAGTACAAGTCAATGGGTTCGATTATATCGGAAGACGTAACGTGTACAACTGAGTCGGTTGTAGAACTAAGAGAACTGGAATCTGGGAGAGCTGAAACTACGTCAAGGGAACCATCGTTCATGTCGCTTGAAACAGAAACATCAAAAGTACTAGGGTTTTCTAACAAGATAAAGGTATCAGACAGTGCAGCTTCTAACAAGGCGGGAGATGATGGAGTGGAAAGGGACTTAATGAGTATGTCAAGGTTGTCGACGGCAGTAGCTACACGTTCGGTGTTGATGTCTCTGGCTGACGGGGCAGGTGAGGGTATTTCTGAAACTAGTGCCGAGTCGAGGAGTATCGAAGCTGCGGGTGACATTTGGGAGATGAATCCGGATGATATCTCCGGTGATGGAATGTAATGATCTTCCTCTATATATGCTGGTGTGGGGTTGAACGAGACTGGCATTACCATGTCGAGTGTCTCTTCGGATGGGACTACTGGGCTACCCCTCATTGCTGTAGTCCCATTCCGTTTCCCGGGTACTCGTATTGCTGCTCCGTATACATAGGATGGTATGCATTGTACATTCCTCCTGGATCGTAATAGTTTATCG